AAAACAAACGAATAATCGAAGTTTGTTCGCAGAATCGAGGTGTATTAATACATTGATTGGCCATAGGCAATTTCATACGAGATTTGAACTTTTTTATTTAAAGCTTTTTTTAGATTTAGAGCTTTTTTAGATTTAGAGCTTTTTTAGATTTAGAGTTTTTTTAGATTTATTCATATAACCTCAGACTGACTACTACTTGCTTATTAATGAATTTGAGATCCAGGATGGGCTTAATTTGGGTACAAAATTTATGTATTTTTATTCTAATTCAAATTTGACTTTTCGTATTTTTATAATAATTTATTCATCTGTATTAAATATTAAAGTACATTTTCTTTCTCTATCAAATTCATTTTGTTTTCCAAGCCTGAAAACACATAATAGTATAGTTAGAAGTATAGGCTGGAAAGCAATATGAAACTTATTTTAATAGTAATTAAGAATGAATAAAAAAAAGACTATAGACTAATAATTATATGAATATACTGTGTATGTTCACAGTATATTCATATAATTACTTGGAAAATGAAATGAATTTGAGAGAAAAAAATGTATTTTAATATTTAATAAAGATGAATAAAATTCAAAAAATTCAAAAAATACGAAAGTCAAATTTAAATTAGAATATAAATACAGAAATCTTGTACCAAAATTAAGCCCATCTTGGACTTCGAATTAAAAAATAAGTCCAATTCGAATTAAAATCAAAATACATCACTGTTTTACCAAAATTAAGCCTTGTTATACATTTTCTTGTGTTTGAATTCGGTTTAAAATGATTGTTCATTTCTCCTGTATTAATTATTATTATTGCAATAATTTATGCTAAATATTGTTACTTTTAAAACATAGATTAAAGAAAATAGTTAAATATACGTAATAAACATGTTATATAATTAATGTGTTGCTTACTTTTGAGTTATAATTGAAATCAAAATTTTTTTAATAGAAAGCTTTAATTATACTCTTTAAAGTCAAGATATAACGTTTTTTTTAAATCTCTAGGTGTTATCATTTATTTTTGCTAAAATGATAAGGAATTATTTAGAAAGATTGTGTTTTATATGGAAAAGTGGGAATTGGAAATAATTTAATATATAGCGAAAAGGGTTGTTTCTATTTTGATTGATCATGAAGGAAATTCTAGATCGAGCAACATTGAATTATTAATAAATATTTCAAAACAAATAGTTGATTTAACTTACACAGTTATGGAACATGTTATTTGATAAATACTATGTCAAATATTTTGGCTAGATTATTTCTATTTTCGTTCGTCATGCAGAATTCTAGATCGAGCAATATCAAATTATTGATCAATATTTGAAAACAAGTAGTTAATCAAATAGACTGTTATGAAACATGTAACTTGGTAACTTTTTTTTATTAAATTTGTAAATTTTTTGACTAAGGTAATTCTATTTTGATTCATCATGCAAAAATCTAGATCGACCAATATCAAATTATTGGTTAATATTCGAAATCAAATAGTTGATCAAACTTAGACGGTTATGGAACATGTTATTTGTTAAATACTTCTTGTTAAATTTAATATTTTGACTGGATTATTTCTATTTTGATTCATCATGCAGAATTTAAAATCAATATTAAAAAACAAATATGGTTATGGAACATTTTCTTTTTTAATAAAATACCTCTGTTAAATTTTTTAATAGTTAATACTAGCATAAATACACACACTCAAACGTATATATATATATATATATATATATATATATATATAAGAAAGTTTATACAAAATATTGTGTTATAAACTGATTGTATTTAATCAATCATTAGATTTACCATTTCTAAAACAATGGTAGAAAATAAATATTACTTCGAAAATGTTTTTGAGGATGCAGACTTGAATATTAATTAACTGTTTCTACAATTATTTCTACTCTAATCTATTCAGAGTTCTGTTAAAAAAATAAATTATCGAGTTTTTGTGTAGAGGGTCCTTTGTTTCGCAAAGATGCGTTTCGTCCTTGCTATTATATGGATTTGAAGTGCGCGCATGAGCTGTAGGCGAATTGATTTTGAAAAAAATATTTTTAATTTATTGAAATACTAAAACAAAAACATGTATTCATATTTTTTCTCTAGCGTATTTGAAATTAGTATTTAATAAAATATACAAACAATACGCTCTTGTTCATATACTTGTTTTAATTCATCCCTTAAAATTTAAATTATAAGTTATTGTTTTCTGTAGGTTTTTGCTACAATGTATGAAATAAAATACAATATATTTTTTATATCACAATTGAGTTATCTTCTTATATGTAAATTATTTCAAACCACGATATTTGAAATTTGAATTAACCGCGGCGACATCTGTTCTTCGGGTATTCCCGTAAGCCGAGACTCAACTATTTCATGGGCGACCGCGATGACAGTTCAACACTTGTATTTTCAACGTGCTCTGTTTAGGTTTAATTTCAAATATAATTAATAAATTTTTGTAAATTTGTACAGTTTTTAAACAGACTAAAAACAAATATATTTTTGGACATACATATATTTAATTGAAGTATAATATTTTCAAGATAATAAATGCTTTGGTATTTTTTTTTCTATATTTAAAATATTATAACCTATATCTTCAATATTCTACAAGTGAGTGAAATATCTCAAAGATGGACATGGACAATATTAGAGATTCTCTTAGCTCTGATGATATGGATGAAATGAATCAGGAAGAGATTATTTATCTTGGAGACGCTGATGAAGTTTTGGAGGCTTTTGAAGGTTGACATTATAAATATGTACTTATAAAGCACGATGCAAATTATTCAACTACGTTTATTCTTTATTATCTATCTTATTCTCAGACGAGATAGATTCGGCTGAAGACGAAGATTTTGTTCCATCAAGAGATGATGCAATTAAAACTTTTACCCCTGAAGAACCCGACAAATCTGTTTTTTGCATCGCCGTGCATCCTGAAGATAAAATGTGGGCAACCGGCACTGAAGCCGATAAACTACATATATGGAATGCAAATGGGATTTTGCAGTGCTCGTTTGGTATTTTTAAATTAATTATGGCAATGTCTTAGAACTATAACACGAGCACTGACTTTTTTAGATTTTGAAGATTCTGTAGTAGTCGTACAATTTAGTGCCGATGGTACATTACTAGCGGCTGCGGATATGGCTGGTAACATAAAAGTAAATGCTAAAAGAGAAAAATATATTTTTATATGTTGGGAACTAAATGCACGTTTTCTTTCCATTTCATGTGGAAATAGGTTTATAATGTAACGAAAGAGCCTTATACTTCGGTTTTTGACTACGCTGTCGGTGATATACAGTTTTTAATATGGCACAAACAAGCAAATGTACTCTTTGCGGGTTCAATAACTGGAGATATATACGTATTAAAAGTACCAAGTGGTAAGACTTCTATTTCGCTCTTGACGTAGTTCATATGTTAGTTATAAATTAAAATTCTAGGTGATTGCAAGATTCTATTAGGGCATGGAAGTAAAGTAAATTGCGCTTCAGTAAGTTGATTAGATAATATTTCAATATGCTAATATTTTAATTGGAACTATTGAAAGATTATTTAAATACAAATTATTTTAGCTGATGGCTGATGGAACTCGTATAGCGGCTGGATATGATGATGGGGTTGTTAAAATTTGGGATATTAAAAATACATCAGTACAAAAACAAATAAATACTGATTCGCAAATTATTACTATTGATACCCATTTTGAAAATAATGTAATAATGATCGGAACTGCGGAAGGCAAAATGACCCTAATAAATGCTACTAACGGCAAAATTCTCAATGATATGAAAACGAATCAGTCAGTTGAATCAGTAGCATTTTATAATAATGCTGAATTAAATCTTTCGGCAATAGGCAAGTTTTCAAATATTTTTTATTTTTTTATTTTAAATTATTTAAATTTGGTTGTTGGAAAGTAGGATGCCTAGATGGATCAATTGTTATATGGGATGTAACCAGAAATGCAATCAGACAAACATTAGAGTCACAAGCAGGCGTTGTCACCATTAAATGGTTAACTGGAGCAAAAATTATATCAGCTCATTTAGATGGTTGCATTAGAATTTATGATGGAAGATCGGGTGTTTTAGAAGTATAAACATATAACTTTATTTTACTAATATGTATTCTAATGAATTGAATAAACATTCACATAATCTATATTCTAGAATCTGTTTATGGGTCATAGAAGGGCAATATTAGACTTGGCAGTCTCTAAAAATCACAAAACATTTGCAACCGCGTCTGATGATGGTACAGCGAAGTTATTTGATTTACAAAATCCTCCTCCTGTCGAAATGGATTCTTGATTCATATAATTATATTTTAATAATAATGTTAATGTAAAATATCAAATTAAGTTATATTTTGTTTATATAAAAATAAAAATATAGAAAACAATTGGTATCTTTTATTAAAATTATTACTACATTTACGGCAACAGCCCGTACCGGATCGGATTTCCGGGATTGGAAATGTTTTACTATTATTTAAATTTGATTCATTATGAATTACTTATGACCATTTCTTTAATAATTGTACTGCCTTGAGAATCCTTATTCTTTAATAACTTAATGGATCAAAGCTACTAAATACATCAAAAACTTACCTTCGCGCGCTTATTCGGCGATCGCTTATTAGTTATGATTAGTTTCACGAAATCTAATGAATTTAAATAAAACAAAATTGTAATGATTATTCTATATTTTATTACTGATAAGATTACATGATGATAGTGATATATCATAGTGCAACATCCAGTTTTTAAGTGACCGTCATTAGTTAAATTTTGTTTATACAAATATTATTTACCAAAACATTTTTACCGTTTCTCAATACTTTATGTGCAAAATGGAGTGTGAATATCAATAAAAGTCACTTAATAATGTAGCTTATGTCATCTATGTAGATTTATATTATATATAAACAATCTCATCATATAAAACTTGCAAAGTTTCCGTTACAAATGAAATATCGGGCGTTTCAAGCCATAAACGTTAATTATTGGCACATTTTATCAGGATATATTTACTTCGATATAATGATATTTTCGGACAATTGTTTTTAATTTCTTAAATATCCGTTCCTTAATTTGTATATCTCAAAAGCTTTATTTACAATATACATTTACTAATAATAATTTAACACTGATTTTATATCAAACTTTGATATAAAAGATTAATATTCATTTAATAAAAATAAAATCAAATGACAATCACTATAATTAAGTGATACAAAATTAATAAAAAATTCTAATTGGTAAATGTATAAAATCAGTGTCTTAACATTTTAAAGTCATATTTTTAATTTAGAATTTCATCAGCATGTCTACAATATAAAGCTATTGCCAATACATCATAACTAAAGTAATTCATAGAGATCTCATGAACACTTTGCGCAAAATATTTTCATTCGTTTAAATTTTCAATTATTTATATTCTTAAAATGGAAAACTTGTATAACCTTTTTAAAAGTTTTAATTGTTTAAATTAAAGTTAGAATTAATATTCAATATAAATGTGTAACGATCTCATTAAAAAAACTTGGGAAAAGTTACAATGATATTATAATTCATTATGTGTTTATCAGAAATCAAATATTTTGTGTAAATCATTCTCGATTTCAGTTCTATATTATGTAGATGCCACTTAATGTTACAAGTATACACTATATACTAATTATCTAACAATAGAATACATAGCTTTTCTTATTTTAATTTATATATTGACGATGTAGGAATAATCATAAATTTACAAACCTAAATAAGGCTAAAAGCAATTCTAAAGCAGGACTGACATAATATTTGATGATAATCTTTATTTTATCATTTGCAATTGGCGTCATGTTTTTCTAAAAAACGAATTTATTATTGTTGATTAGGTGGTTTATTCAGTCAGCCCTCTTGTTCTATTTATTTGGCGTGATATCAACAAAACTTTGCAAATTAAGATTAGTGCAGATACAAAATTAATACAAAAAAGTGCTTTCTTATAAAGGCTAGCGAGAAAAATCGCTAATTCGATTGTGAAATACTTACAAATATTTTCACTATCATTAAGGTAAAATATTTTCCACATTTCTTAAAAATACAATAATATGCTATAGTACTAGCGTTTGTTATTATTATTAACTAGAATGGTTTTTAACTTCAGTCTTAGAATATTGGTTATTATATGTCAAATCATTTTAGTGCTGAGATGAAATCGTTATACAATATTCATCTATAGAAATATTTGAAATTAAAACATAGTCATAAATAGTACTTAATTGCATTTCTGTTGCATTTTTTTCTATTCCTTATATCAAATACATCCACGTTAGTACATTTATTATAAATCGACTTGAAACATTTATGTATAATAAAATATAAAATTTTTAAAACAGTAAACAAAATTTCTTAATTCGTGCTATGATAGATATAATAATAAAATGAATTAAATAATATGTATATTCTATTCTGATGTTCGAGTATTTTTTAGTTTTCTAAACTATAAATTCTATAGTCTATCACACAAATTTCGTTTATAACTAGTTTTTACACATTTTAAAAATATACAATGGCTACTTAACATTTATTCGTAACGACATCGGTTATCGAAACCTATTTACCTTATACATTGTATAATTAAATTCTTTTTTGAATGTTAGGCAATATTTTTTATTATACGAACTAGTACATATGTTATTATTACTGATATTTCGATTTCATCAAATCTGTCGCATGAAAAGTTTATTTTCATTATATATAAAGTTTATTTGTTTTCTTAATGCAAATTCACTATGAAATTAATGTATTTGCTTAAATATATTTTATAACTTAATGCTGATATTACAATGGATTCCAACAGCATACGACTTAATTTTTAAAACGTTCAGTCTGATCTAAATATGTAACAATATAATAATTTTGTTCAATAAATTTTGGGCTCTGCAAGGTTGCTGAACAAGGAGAGGATTATTTGTGCTAATATTTTTATCAATATAATCCTTCCTAAATCCAATTTATTTTTGAATGCAACAAGTTTACATAATAAAGGTATAATTGTCCAATTGTTTAGTTCAAACTTTTAGAATAACTCAATAACATAATATTATTGTATAATTGTTAGCATTCATTTAAAATAAACTTTAATCCATCCATGGCGCTACTTAAGTATGCGAATATTTACAGGAATATCTGATTGCGCGAATTAACGGCATTTTATCTAATTGAAGAATTTTGGAATACGTTTTTGAAAAACGTGCTTTGGTAGAAATATTTTAGTTAAAGTTATTAAATATCAGTTATTAGGTATTATCAGGTATTGCAAATTGATTAGGTTCATTTAAAATAATTTATATGTAGTACACAATGCATACGTTAGGCAAGCTTTTTTTGAAATATAGAAATTACTCATAAAATTAATAATGCAAAAGATAGTTTTCTGCGAAAAAAATATGCTTTGCAATAGGCGGTCTTCAATTCGTTTCGAAAATTTATATTCGTACTGATATATTGAAAGGCTATCAGATGCAGTGTATTCTTGTTTAAAATTCAAATTTTATATAGTCATCATCTGAGAATTTTAGTATCAAAATGTATAGAATCACTGAATGTAATTAGACTCACGTTTATATAATGATATTTTGATTAAAATGCGAGTATGTATATAGCCACGTATGAGTTATATTAATTTTTTGGATGTTTAAAAATGCCATAAATTCACTCAACCAGAACATTTGTGTTCATATCCTCATATTAATTGATCATTTGCTCGTATTTTATTTACCGTGCAAACGGCTGCGCTAGATGTGACTACAACCTTGCATGCCCCGGCTTCAGGCTAACGTAACAACGTGTTCAGGTTCTGGAGACCAACAGTTGTCCGAGAGCCAGCAGCCGATCACCACGGTGACCAGGCCGATCAGGAGCGCCAGCACGATGTAGACCTCGGCGTTACCTGTACAAAGAGTCATAGATTAATACTGGCTAATTGCAAACACATAAAAAATCAGCTCTGTACGGATCAGAGATATGGAAGATAAAAAATGAAGAAGATTGTGACAAATAAACAATGGCTGAGAAGATTGGATGAAGAAAGTATTTTACTGAGCTCAATCATTAAATGGAAAAGAAATTGGAACCCATTCAAGAGTGTCTCCAACACGATGTCGGTGATTAAGGACTGTTAAGAAGAAGTATGCAGATGATTGATGACTTAGACGAGAAGAGAAAATACAGGGAACTAAAAGCCAAAGCGCAAAACCAGAAAACATGGAAGCAGAAATATGCAGAAAAAAGTGAATAATGGTAACAGAAATAATTAACATGAGAAGGAAAATGATTGATTTGTGGTAAATAATGTCATTATCTCTTTAACAATAAATTGTGTGTTTCTTTAGACGCAATGAAATTTTTATAAAATATTTATTTTATTTAAAATAAACTTTAATCCATCCATGGCGCTACTTAAGTATGCGAATATTTATAGAAATATCTGATTGTGAGAATTCACAGCATTTTATCTAATTGAAGAATTCTGGAAAACGTTTTTGAAAAACGTGCTATGGTAGAAATATTTTAGCTAAAGTTATTAAATATCAGTTATTAGGTATTATCAGGTAAAATAATTGATATGTAGTACACAATGCATACGTCAGGCAAGCTTTTTTTGAAATATAGAAATTACTCATAAAATTAATAATGCAAAAGATAGTTTTCTGCGAAAAAATATGCTTAATGCAATAGAAATAAGACTATATTAATATTATAAAATATTATCCAGGAAAACACAACATTTTGCACAAGTGATTACACTATCTCATAAATTTTTCAAAAATCATTATGCACTCTTGTTATATCTGAGTGTGAATATGGGATGCAATCCGATTTTGAAGTGGTCGGTTTTAGCTCATTTTTGGAGGTTATCAAAAAGATTTATTCATATATATTTTACAGAATCTCTCTTACGTAGAGGGTGAATCAATATTTGTGAAATAAAATAGTATCAGCCTCTGTGAATATCGACGGTAACTATTGAATTGAAACAAGAGATGTCTGTGTGGGTGCCAGTGCTAGCCAAATATATTAGTGCCCAGCAACCCCTTTTCAAGCATAGAGTTCAACCCCCGACTGTTGGAAATTATATCTAAAGTAGTTTTTGCATAGGTGGCAGTAGGGGTTTGCTCAAATTCTGTGAAAAACAGTTATTTTTAAATTAAAAAATATGAAGTAGCACAATATCAAGAGCGATACCTTCATTATTTACATTAAGGACCTTAATAAGCACACTGACTTTTTAGGCTTTTATGTCTTATTTTATGTTTGTAT